CGAAACCACTTTAATGTCATAAAAATTAAGCATGTAATATAATTTGAAAAAATTTAGGATCCGCATTGTAAATACAATGTAATCAAATAACATTTTGACCAACAAGTCAGACACTAAACTAGTGTAATAAAGAATTCCTCTATTTATACTTGCCCTTTCAAATTTACTCACTTATTATGCATCACATGAACACCATTTATAGCCAATCAAAAAATTTCTCAACCTTTTCTCGTTTATTTTTTGTAAATCCAACGATTTGAAATGAAAGAATAGTTTAACTTTATTTAACGTTTGCTTTTTAATTTTTCATTCGTCCAATTAGAGTGTACCACGTAGCACACTTTCTCTTCTTTTTAAATTCTCTTATGAATCTTAATTGACTCGTATTTCTTCCATTTCAACTTCGAACTTATATGTTTTTTTGTAGAAAAATATGATTTCATGTTGTGTACGCAATGATATTCATTTTCATATATATTAAAACAAAAAATCAAATATGTCGTCGTGATAATGTATTGATGAGGTCATCCTATTTGACAATGTTATTAAAATATATAAATACCATTCAATTCTATAATATCATACACGACTAGCTCATAGTCATAGACCACCATAACTCATAAAACACTTTCATATTCTAAAAAATTACTAAACTATATCAATATTATTCCGTTTTGTACTACCATATAGCACAATATTTCAAGTGTGTCAAAAACATTTCAATCAACATAAACCAAATTATTTTAGAGATCGGCTCAAAGATAGTAATTATAAACCATATCAATATCATCTGATTTTGTACACCATAATGCACAATAATAATCCAAGTTTATAAAAAATATTGTCAGTAGGCATAAACCAAATTATTTTAAATAAAAAATTCATCTCTTGCCCGCTGGCAGAGTTAAAAGCTAGTAATTATAAATAGCCTTCCCATCGTCTCTCACGAGAATCTATTATCCAATAGAAGAAGACGGGACACGATAGTGAATATCCCTAGATGCTACAAAATACAAATTCCTCCCGAAAAAGTTAATTTGCTCACAAGGTGTTTTGTGAGTAGATACTCACAACAAGGCCCAGATTTGTCCACGTCGGCCCAGTTCTAATCCAAGGGTGAGGGGGTTAGCCCAGCCATGGCTCATTTAAGTGAGTTATTTAAGGGATTTTTTGCACAAGCCGGTCCAGCCGACCAAGCTGAACAAGATGGCTTGGGTCCACCTTTGATTTGGGCGGGATTGAGAAAGGGAGCCGCTGAGATAACTCGTATCCAGCCGAGACAAATAAATATCCAAAAGTGCACGAACTAATATCCGGTCTGAGTTGACAAAAGAGAGAAAAGCATGGCCCACAATCTGCTACTTTTGATGCTTTTGATGAATTTTCACATGAGATAGATGTTGAGCATTTAATGCCACCCACCAATTATTCTCACATGAAGAGAGAAATCAACCCGGATTAATATTCATATCGTCCAATCTAGTATCCATCCTTAACCAAAGTATTATCCATGGACCGAAGGAAATTAGTTTATGTGGTCGGATATTAGTCTCGACGGTATGGATATCAATTTTTGCATGAACTGATATTATATACGATGGATATTAGTTTGTGAATTAATTGTGTCTTCCATCAAAATTAAACACGCTATCAAGTCCTAACACATAAAGCTTGCAACCTTAGTTAGGCCAATGAATCAATAAAGTAGGAGAGTGTGTCTTCCAGACCCTGATATTAGTCCGTTTGTGATTTCAGAAATTAGTTTATGTGGTTAGATGTTAGTCAGGTTGCCAATGATATTTGTTCGTTTAAGGGTGGATATTATTTCTAGTGTGGATGAATGTTAGTCTGGGAGCCACAGATATTTGTTATATAAAGGACAGATATTTGTTTTGGGGTGAATGGGTGTTTGTATGGGCAGTATGGATGTTTATTTTATGAACTTATATTATATGCGATGGATATTAGTTTGTAACTATTCACATGTGAACCTCATGGTCACTATTCTCATGTGAATCTTGTACTAACTATTCAAATGTCATCTTTGTTTATTTAAGCACCCACCCTAACATATTGGTTTCCCAACTTACCCACCATATTGTTCTTCTCTTCTCAAACAACTTCCATGTCTTCAGAGTCAGAGGATGAAGATATCACCGAGGAAAGCATCCGGAAATGAAGTTTTTTTTTTGTCATGGTAGGTCTGATATTATAAGCGAATAAATATCCAGACATGATATAACATATATATCTCAATCGCACAGAACTAATATAAGCGAACTAACATCCATATAGGGAAGAGAAATATCAAGATTCAAGACAGAGTAAACAAATATACAGACATCATATAACTTATATCCGAACAATCAATAGAACAATATCCACATTATAAAAAGTAGTATCCAAAGCATGCTAACAGTTATCCATATTAAACGAACAAATGTACAACGTTTTCCTGCCCGAACAGAACTAATACCAATTAAGGAATATCCAGATTCATCAAACGAATACCCAGCAAATTCACAACTGATATCTTGCCCGAACAAAACTAATACCGCAACGCACAAAACAAATCCAGAAATCCACAAAATCCATTAAAAAAACGAAGCAAAAGAAAGCAACCCAGAATTCCAGTCAACTCTAAGTAACCAGAAAACAAATCCAAAAAACAGAAGAAAAAGGGACCCAGATCTAGTCAAAACCATGCAACCCTAACTAACCGCCGTCAAACCAGCCGCCGCGTGCACCCAAACTAACCACCGTCGCCGTTAGGGACTATCGCGCGCACCGGCCGTCGTCGTCTATTGAGAGGAAGGGAGGAAGTTTCTTTCTTGAGCGACCCCTTCATTCGTCTACACCGTCACGCCGCCGTCAAATCAACTATCACCGCTTCCCTCAAAGTCGCCGTCATCGTCACTTCTCCTCGCGCAACCGTTGAAACCTTCGTCTCCGTCAAAACCTTCATTGCCGCTTCTTCTAGACAGCCGTCGCCGTCGTCGGTATTGGGAAAGGAAGGGGAGAGAAAGTGTTTTCGAGAGAGGAAGGGGAGAGAAAGTGTTTTTGAATTTTGGAGAGAGAGTGAAAGTGAACTGACAGAGAAATATCAAAGAGAGGAGATTTGGGTAGATAAAATTAATTGTGTTTTTAGAATTGGTGGGCCAAGTGGACCCCACTTTTTCGTCCCAGAGTGTCTGGGCTTGGTCCAGTCGATGGACTCGGCTCTCCTCCCCTCACAGGTCGGCGCCAACCTTCCTCCACCGTCTGATCATGGCTCGGTGACGTGGGTGGCCATCCGGCCCTGTGAGTGTATACTCACACTATATCCTATAAGCAGGATAACTAAATTGAATTCCTCCTGCCCAGGTAAGACTCGTTGGAATTCTTTTCTTTCTTGGACATCGAAGAAATTAGGCAAAGTACACTTGTATAGCCATAACTTTCACGTTTGTGACAAATATAGTCATAATTATCGAAAAACCCAAAATAGCCTAAAAATTGGATGGTAGTGTGACAAATCTAGCCATTTCCGTTAGAAACTTTAACGGTGTTAGAAACTCCGTCAGTTAAGTTAACGTTAGACTGATTAGGATGCCAAATCATCGGACACGTCAGCGACACATCAGCCACATTTGCCATGTAAGCGCCACGTCATATTTTAATTTAAAAATAAATAAATAAAATCATATATTAATTTTTCATTCCTCTCTCCCCTCCCACCACTCGTCGTCGTCGTCAATTAGAGGAGACAATCTGCTCCCCAAACCAAACCCCATATCCCTTTTTTTTTGTAGAAACCCCAAATCCCTCTGCTCCATTGTTTTTACATTTATCCTTCCTTTCCTTGCCCAACTGCTAACAAAAATCAAGTAGTTGAGATGCCCCAAACCCTAATCCTTTTGAGGAGGCCATCTGCTTCAATCCCTCTGCTCCACCTCCAATTCCAATTCCAAAAATCATTTTAGGGTTCCGAGAGACTTCAGAGGAACGGCGGTGCTGGATATCAAAGTGCTGACCGCCGCCGATTGGAGGCTTCTTGTCGTCGTTTGGAAGTGCCCGGTCGCTGATTGAAGGCGTTCCTTTGCTGATTGAAATTTTCTTGCTAGTGGCGTTCCTCACCACATCGCCGATTGAAAGGTTCCGGTCACCCAGATCCGTCGTTTGCTTCACCACTTCTCCTCGTCGCGGCGACCAGTGACGGGGGAGGATCGATTCGCAGTGGCTCGACAGGAGCTGGTAGAGGTATTCGTGTAACAATAATGGCGGCGGAGGTAATAATGTCGTGGCGGTGGCCGAAAGAAAGGAGGAGGCGGAGGCAAATTTGTTCGAGATTGTATTAGAGAGTGGCGGTGAAGAATCTCTCGATTCCTTGTTGTAGTTGTTGGTTGGTGTTTTTGAATACATAAGGAGGGTAGGGGTTCTTGGGTTTTTGGTTGATTCCATTTTTCTAATTGCTGGGGAACACAACATGAAGCGGGAGAGGAGGGGAGGGCAAATAGAGCTGGACGAGGAAGAAGCCCCGCCACTGCAGATCTGACACCCGAGAAAGAGTTCGATGAATCTGTTGCCGGGAACTCGGACTCGGGTCTGGGCGCGGAGGCGACGTCGAGTTTGGGTTTCAACCGTCGCCGTCTTTGTCTGTCGGTGGTGTGGATTGAGTTTGTGGGGGGAAGCAATGATCTGGAATTGAGAAGAGAGGAGAGGCGTTGTTCGTAGCGAAAGAGGAAAGAAGTGAGAGGGGAGAGGGGAGAGAGAATAAATTTATTTAATTAATCTATTTTTATTTTTTTTTCTTTTAATTCCACCTCATATTATTATTGACAAAATATTGCCAACTCAGCATTTTCCGTTAGTCTAGTCATATTGTTAGTTGACACCGTTAAAAGGATAGACGGTTATTTTGTGTTTTCAGATAATTATGGTTATATTTGTCACAAACGTCAAAGTTATGGCTATATAGGCGTATTTTGCCAAGAAATTAAAGAAAGTTTGTATTGTTTTAAGCTCTATACTGATTGTCGCAAGTTGCAGTTTCTTGCGAACTTTTTCCGGAATGGGTGTTGAGCATAAACCAGCAACCGAGGACGTAAAGATGGACATATTTGAGGACGATGATGAATTCGAGGAGTTCGACATCAACCAAGGTGCCATTTACTTTTCCAAATTCCTCAGTCTCTGGATTTAGAGAATGTTAGACAGTGGAATTTCTTGTAAAAAGAAGATTCTGAAAACCCTAAGTTCAACAAGACAGGAGTTTGGATTTTGGAATGATGGTATTGCAACTAAGGCTCGATAGAGTTTGGGATTAGGAAGGACTTCAGTGATCAAATTATGGCGTAGTAGTATAGGATGAGTGTCCACTGTCTGCTCACCTCCTTCTGGATGTGGTTCAGCAAAGTGGGTTTAGGGTCAGAGGCTTGCTGAGTGGTGTGCTGCTCTGGAAATTCATTGTTCAATCTTGGTGGATGATATATTTGACATATGATGCATCATGCATACTTCTGTTAGTACATCTCTTGTGGTCTTTGCTTTCGAGTTGATTATGCTGTCAGGAGCGAAAAGCTTAGCAGCTCCATGTTGTTTATAGGCAAACACAAGAGTAATTCATGCAGTCCATCTTTGTCCAGTTGTTACTGTGGGCTCATCTAGCTTGCTCCAGTTTTTGGGATGCACTTGGGATTTTGTTGTTAGGTCTTGATGTAACTCGGTAGGACTGATTGATCCCGAATTTGATCTTTTCTGTTACTATTGTCTTTTTGGTTCTAGCTATAGGATGGAAAATGATGTTTGTATCTTCAGATGCCACTCATCTGTTATTATTCTTATATATAATAGCGGACTACACTTTATTGGCCCAAACTTGTCACTACTGTTTCATTCTTTGTCGTCTAGCAAGGGAAGAGTGAAGAGAGCTATTATTAAAAGCAAGCAAGTAGCAACCCTTCACCACATTCCCTTCCCTTCACCGCAATCACAAGCAACCGTTCAGTAATGCCTCATCTCACCATTCCAAGCTATAGGCTCTTACCCACACGCCACCACCTATATCCTCCCCTTACTCCTCTAATTGGAGAAGACCTCCCTTCTCTGGTTCTATCTTTCCTTTTCAATTTCAGCCGCACCTCCTCTTTCCACACTCAACTCTTCTGCCCACCTCACCACCATGAACTTCACCATCTTTTCTAAACTAGCATGGACGGATGGAGACCCTAGGCGGTGGGGTTTTCAAGTTATCGATAGTGTGGACGAACGAAACCGGTGAGTTCTTTTTCTCCTATTAGCTCCTTCTAGGCAATGGTTTCCGGCCTCCCCGCATATCTCTCCCTCGGTAACTTTCATTGCAGTCTTTCCCTGTTTTCCTAGCATCTCATCGTTCTTAGCCTAAGATCCTTCATCTCAACTATCCATCGTTTTTCCTGCTCTTCACTCTGAATCTCAGTTTCTTTTCTTTTCCGCAGTCGGATAGACTTCGTCTCATCTTGGGCAGTGACTGGATTCATGGAAGAACTCAGTATTTTGAAGTTCACGGTATATGAGCAGATTAAAATGATGAAAGATTCAATGATCTTTGTTTCTTGGTTCTTTTATGGGTGAAGTTTTATTTTAATTTATTTTCCTTTTTTCCTTCGGATATATATATCATCCAATCTGGGTACTAACTGGGAACAGTTGCAGGATCATACCAGCAACAATATGCGAACAGCGAAGAGCATTTTTCAGGTGGATCCGGTGGGATTGTGTGTTAGCTCTCGCGCCATTCTTCTTTCCCAACAGGTTTACTACTTACTATTACCTCCCTTTGTGTTTTGGATTTGTCTTGCTCATGTTTGTTGTTAAAAACCCTTGATTTATGTCATTAGTTTTGTTCTTTGTTGCTAGGCTTTGGAAGCCGATAAACAACAATCCTTTCTTCGTCTACAACGATTGCATTCTCACCGTCAAGCAATGGAAAAAGCCCAAATCTTACAACCTTTAAGGGTTCCCAGCTCCAAATTCCACCACCTCTCCGGTATCAAACGGCAAACGAGAAGTAAGAGGAGTTCGAGCTGGCATTCAGTTTGTTTTCCACAGAACTCCGAAGCTGTAGTACACCGACAGAAGGGTATGGATACAGAAGGAGAGAGATATACTGATTTGTCTGCTTCAAATTAAGGTTATAAGGAGCACTCATCCCAAACTTTATTTTGTTGGTAGGGACCCTATTATGAAAATGGCATTTCATGTTATTGGAGCCATGGATATGAGTTTAATAGATTTAGATTAGAGAATTGCCAAACTCAGTTTTACATCTATTATTGAAAGACCATTTCCAAGTTTGCCTCCTGTTGAGTTAAACCCAACATCCACTTCGTGACCTTATTAATAATTTGTAGCAGGTCCTTCCCAATTTTGGGTATATGTTTTGATTGTTTTTCTCCTGAATCAAAGCCTCACTTCGTTTACTTCTTCAAATTGGTTTTGTTCTAAGTTTTGAGCAACATCAATTTTGCTGAAACTTCCTTCCTTATGTGTGATTCATACAATCTTTGGTGTCACAGGATGATGCCGAGGATCCTCGGCTGTCATGTTTGGATCTCGGTTGTGGGCTCAGTTAATCGCCAAACTTCAGTGCAGGGCGGACAGAGAGCACAGAAAGACGCACAAGAGTGCATTAAATGGGTTGAAAGGTGCTTTCTTCTTTATTGATTTTCTTATCTAACTCACTGATTCATTTATATTCCCATTCAATGAGGACTTAGTGTGCTTGCTTTGCTATATTGTTTGTTTCAGTTAAATAAGATCTCAATCCTTGCTGCTCAGTATGGGGTTCAAGAGGAGTTGCAGGATATCTCTTCAGTTAAAACTTTCAGAAACTTTTCTGAATTGATTTTCATGGATCGGTTCGTTTCGCCTCTCAACACTGAACCTTTCAGCTTCCATATGAAACTAATTATGTTCACCATCATTTGCATTTACAGGTGGGAACGTGTAGTATAAGCATGCTTTTGCTGCTGCTAGATTCGAGAAACTTGATTCTCCTACACCATCATCACTTGCCTGTTCCAGTCCATTCCACTAATCCTTGAAACTCTTCAAGTAAATGCTATTTATTTTAATATTGTACTTATTTCGAGCATCATTTTTGCCTATTATGATTTGATTTCATGAGTAGTTAAAGCCCTTAAATTAGGAGGATGCTTCTTCTTATACTGCGGTGCAGGTAGATGTTAACACATCCGTGTTAAGCAGAGGAGGCTGCAATGAAGGTAGGAGGATTTAAATATCTCGATTGTGAAGTCCGAATGAAAGGAATTGCCAAATACCGCGACTGAAAAGATGGTAAGTCTGACGGGTATGTTGTTTGGTTGCTTTTGAAGTGGCAATCATGCGACTACATATTCTTTAAAAGATAAAAGGTGGGTACGCTTTATTACCCTCAACTTACTACTACTGTTTCACTCTTTGTCATTTAGCGAAAAGGGCTTCTTTTGTTCTCCGCAGGGCAGCTGGTTGCGGCGGCCGGGGATGCTCCGCTTGTGTCGGGTCAGAAGCCAATTCCGCCGCTGCCCGGTTAAATCAGCAGCCATGCCTTCCGTATGCATGCTCCATATCGCCCTTTCCGTAAAACCTGCAAGGAATAGTGTTTTATTGTCCTCCCGTCACTTCGCCATACAGCTTTCTCAACCAATCCTTCCCAGCGCCAGTAGGAACTTCCCTTCCCTCAGCCTAGCAGACGACCATTCCTCCCATCCGTACTTGCAGGACTTGGATTGCCCCCTCTTTTCTCTTCCTTCCCTTCAACGCTTCCCTCACCTTTTTCGTGTTTCCAGGTTGTAGATTTTGCTGCCACACGTCATCGCTACCGAACCCTCTTCCAGACACGCTATTGCCCATGAATCGTACTGTACTTGCCTGCTCAGCTCGATTAGGGCCATCGCGACCCTTGAGGGCTGATTGGTTTGTTTGTTGCCCTCTCCCAGCTCAGTTCTGCGCCCCATTCCATTTTCGTGTTCATCACCACACCATTCTCGGTCCAGTTCTCCGGCTCGACCTTAATACCCTCTCATCTTCGTCTTCTCCGATCTCATGGGGAGGGAGATGAACCCCCACGACAGATTCTAGGGGTCGAGGAAAGGTTTGCGTTCCGATTCTTTTGTCCCTTTGCCTTGCGTGAAGAGAATAAGCCCCTAGACTTTGCCATGGACTAAACTTTCTTCGTCGGAGACTTTAGCAAATTTGAGGGCCTGTACAACGACGGTCTTCTATGACTCTCTGGTGAGTTTGCTTTAACATACGTCTTTCATGTATTCATTTTTTCCTAAGCAAAAGGGTCTGCCTGATCCATTTTTTTAGGGGAAATATTGGAGTCGAGTTAATAAGACATGTACCAGAGATCAATTACATCTCATTCTCTTCACGACTCTCTCAATTCTACACCAAGAGGTCACTGAATTGCCTAATTGTACTTTGCTTAATTGATTATTGCTGGTGAAGTGCTTGATTAAATGAGAGTTGTATATTTGGTGTCGCAGTTGGCTCAATGACAGGATCATGTGGGGAGAAAAGCTATTATGATTTCACTTGGGTTGCTCGCTCAATCCAATTGGTGTGAAGTAGCTGCTGCTGGATCAAATGAAAGACGTGTTTGATGTTGCTCACAATTATCTTTTTGCCCTTACTTCCGTGGAACCGAGTTAAATGATAGAATGTAGCTTTGTTCTTATCATCGCTAATGTGAGTATGATGAAACTCTTACTTTTCCTTTTTTTCTGATCCTTTATTTTAATTAGCAGTTTCATGATTTCCTTTGGTCTTGGACAGGGGAGGCTTATAAGCAAGGTCTGACTTGATCACCAGTGTCGGCTGACAACAGAGGGTATGAGAAGTCGTTTGGGACTATTTTGGGTTTGATTTGCCTCGAGGTTATGAGTTGTGACGGATACAAGGGACCGAACGGAGGCTCATCTTCGGATGGAATAGAAATAGGAGGTTCGCTTTCTCTCTATCCCTATATCTTTTCAGTTTAATTTCTCCAGATATCTCTCATTCTTATTGTTCTTGCCCCTGTATCTCTTCTGACATATTGGGAACAATGGCATCGGCGGCAAAAGCCTCCACATATGACAAGATCTTACTTGCAATCATTTACAAGTCGGCCTCTCTGTATATCTCCCAATTTTATTTCTGCTGTTTTTCATTTGTTGGTTGGCCATAACTGTTCCGTTCCCCTTTCTTTAGTTCTCATTTTGTGTTTAGTGGGAATAGATCAATCAAGTCCTGGATTAATCTCTTAATTTTCTTTGATTTTTTCCAGGTTAGATGTTTCCCTGCTAGCAACTGAAGAGGGTGTCTTTGAAGTGAAGGCAACTGTTGGAGACACTCACCTTGGTGGTGAGGATTTTGACAACAGATTGGTAAACCATTTCGTCCAGGAGTTCAAGAGGAAGAACAAGGAGAGTATTTCTTTTAATCTCTTTGTTTTTTCCCCAAGATAGATATGATCCAATTCAGGTTTTACTTCCTTGAATTCTACATAGCTTCTTAATAATTTCTTTCTGTTTGATTCTTTAGGTCAAGGCTTTTGCCTTGGACACTCAATTGAAGCTTAAGGATCTACATCAAAGCAGTAGGTATGGCAACATGTGGGTAGTGGAACAATTTTAAGCTTGGGTGTATCTTTGGCCAAATTATTATCAGGTAGCGTAAACTAGCTACTACTAATCCTTGCTTTATCTCTGGCTTATCAATGTGGAAAACTTACTGATAGTCACTTCCTACAAAGCTAATGCAACTAAAATAATTAAAACTAATCGATCATGCTTTCCTGTATTTGCTTGCTCGAAATCATGAACTTTTTTTGCTTATAGGATACCTATCGGTGCTTTATACATTGCATTTATATTTTACTTAAACTGCTTCGTTGCCTTTCAAGGACAAACTTTCAGACAACCGAGTTTGAGGCTCAATTGAAATTCGAAGTCAATTGAATTTCGACGGTTTTGAATTATATCATTTGATGGCCAGGACGGTTTTAAATTATATCATTTGATGGCCAAGACGGTATGGAGTGTTTAATATAGTGATAAATATACCAGAAGCTGCAGGGGTATTCGTAAGCAGCCCTCAGAAGGAAAATAGCATATTTGTAAGAGTTCAGAAAGCAGATGTTTGGGAGATATTTCCAGGATTAAATGTCTTAGGACTGAAGATCATATGATGCATTTATCCTCTCTTGATGAGCTGCTACTACCATTCTGCATTTCATGGTGGAAATGGAGTGACATGTGCAGTAATATATGGAGATCTGTTCAGTGGATCTTCTTAGTGTGAAGAAGGCAGGAATTTGAATGAACGACAGTTATAGAGCATGGCTAGGAGGCTGAGCTTGAATTTCTTTTGATGTTTTTCCTTCACTGTTTTGCTGCTACCTCTTAGCAGCCTGATTATAGTTAGTATTTACAAACTCTTCAGTCATTTTGGTTTCCTAATAATCTTTTATATTACCATTAATACAGAGGACGAACACTTTCAATATTATTCACTTCTGTAGAACTATGTTGTATATAGGTTTGCTATTGAGTGTTTAGTAGTAGCAAGTGGTGTGCAGCCTAAAGTAACTTTGCTTAAAGCACACCAACAAAGTTAATGCATCATTTGAAGTGAATTTCCTGTCCATGAAACTCCTCTACAGTGCTTATGAATTTACATTCCTCAGCTTACCATACAAAGTTCATTAGGTCCTCTTGCTGTATTGTTTATCACTAAGAAGGTGAGTAGTTTACAAAGGGATTCATTAGTTAGTAATCATTATTTTGTTCAGATTATGATAGTGCTTTGTTGACCAAAATTATTAATCAATGTGATTTTTAACACGTGCGTCGAATTATAGTTTTATGCTTAGACCAAGCTTTTTTCCCTGAGCATTTGCCTACTACCACATAACTTGAATCACAGCTAAGGAGATCAGATCAGAAGATGAAAGAATAGACAGAATAGACAATAAGATTAAAACATTGGAAAAGCAAAGACCAAATCAATGAACTTCAAGGTCAATTAAAAGTCCAATTCACTAATTATGCCATGTCCTGCGGCGTAGCCGCGGGTATTATTTCTAGTACTTCTAAAATTTAACATTTGTGTGCTTTTTATTTCTTACCGAGGCTATTGCACTCAAAGGGGAGGTGAAATTGAGTTTCAAATCCTTTTGAATATGGAATTTGGTGGTGATTAACAATTTAACATGAACATTATAGCTTGAAATATGTGTTTGCACGATATAATTGAATGTCTAATGCATGTTTGCATAGGAGGTCTTTCTTGATTCAAAACCAATGTTGTACTTGGTGGGGAGGGTAGAATTTCTTTTCAAAAGATGTAAACTTTTTTCTTTTTCTTGCAATCCCTACATCAGGTCCGTACTATTATACCTATCATTGATCTCTTTCCCCAACCACCAAATCTAAATTTTGGTTAATCAAAAGATATCAGCTGGCACAAAAATTCACAACAGTTCACTTATTAGCCTTTTCATGGGGTTTTATTAGTCTATGTCCTCCTTCTGCCAATGGATATGTATGGAAAGGGAAATTTCAACCACGCATTAAATTGATGTGGTGAATTTGAATGCAGGTGGTGCTTGCTTTTGCTGAACTGGACCTTGAAGTTACTATACTGTAGGCTACAGTTGATGCTCACCGATAATGATACCAGAGGAGGATGAGTTTATTCTTGCCTTTCTTTTGAGAGACTTTAGGTAAAGAAGCAGGCAGTAATGATAAACTGATTTTCTTTTGTTTTACTTCAGTTCCAGCTGTTTTCAGCGTAGAGTTCTATTTGTTTAGTTTAAGCCATTATAATTCATTATTAGGATCTTCTTTCTTGGTGTAGGCTTTGTCAATTGTCAGGTATATCAATCATACTAAAATTGAGCTTCCATGCAATAAGCATATGGTGTGTTCGGGCTGCTGCAACATTTCTTGCCCTGCTACTCTGTGATTTTGCTTTTTCAAATTTTTAATTTAGTCATTGTATTGTTCTGTTTCTCAAACAATGTATTTTTGTCTTAAATGTATATGTAAATGTATTTGTATGTAGATGTAATTCTTGCAACTTAAGTCCCCGCGGCGTAGCAGCGGGTATTTTTTCTAGTCCTTTCTAACGACTGTGTTTATGTAAACAAACAGAGTGGGATGACAGGGTGGAAGTAAAAGAGGTGAAACAGCAGTGGGAAGATGATTGGGACGACCATGATGTCAACGATGACTTCTCGCTGCAGCTGAGGAGGGAACTGGAGACCAGCGTGGTGAAGAGCTAAGTCCAGCAGCTACGGTGTTCCTCTTGAAGATTTGTAGTTTGGTGAGATGAGAATGAATTGACTACCAGAAGCTCATATTCTTCACGTACACTGGTTTTTCCGGACTAATCTTTCTGTACTTGATTGGCGCGAACCCTTCTTACTGCTATTACTATTAGTGTTAATGTGTTACAGGAGAATGGGATTATAACAATCAAGCCAAGGAATTAGATTCAGTTTCTTGCTAACCTAACAGCTATTGTCCAGTACAGACTTTGATAAAAGTCAATGGCGGTAGCTCGGCCTTGGTGGCTGAATTTCTCCTACAGGTTCAGTCACTGCAAGCCAAATTGTCCTTTTAAAATGTAGCTTTACTGATGCCCACTTGCATAAATAAGTAATGGAGTCATCTCTTAACGGCAAACCAACTTGTGATACTATTATGAAATCTTTTACCAGTTTGTGCAGGAACCCTACTCCCAGTCGAGATTACATTTGCTGATTAAACATGTAAGAAAAAAGTAATCTTATTCCACTAAGTAGGTGGAGAAAATAAGTAAATCAAGATGGTAAAAAAAAAAAACAAACAAAATCAAAGAACTCACATCACTTGATGTTTGACCTGCACAAATCAGAAAGTAACCGCAAACCAAACCCAGCAGCAAGCAAGATTTCAACACCAACTAAGCAAAGCTGACTTAGTCAGGTTTCTTCCTATGACAATCCATTAATAGCGAGCTCTGATCATTAATGTGTATTAAAACTAAATTACTTGTCATAGTCTAATACATCACACAACTATAGACCTCAACATCCATCAACAGCAAGGGAGCTTAGCTCTTTGCCTGACCAGCATAGCCAACAGCAAAACAAACTCAAGGGAAAACGCAAGGTGGAAGAAGGCGAAAAAGTCCACCAGGGGACTGGTTCAACGGACGAGGATGTTTAGTTCAGATTGATTGCATAACAATTCATATATATCTTCATAACCAATCCAGGTTTTCTGGCTCTGCAGTAGCAGAATCAGCATATTGCTGGAAGGTAGCAGAAGCAACGGCTAGCTCAAGTTACTTGGATGTCGGTATGATCTTTTAACCTTCATCTCCTCTATCTTGCATGATTCATTCAACTATCCAATTCGAATTGGTGTAGAGGACATTGAGTTAGTTCATTATTTCGATGATGGTTGTTGACCCACAATACTGTCTCTCCTGAGTTGTGCAATTGGTTCTTCTATCTTGCGTTAAAGAAAACAGCAACTTCCCATTGATATATCTTTTGTTTCAACTTGTTACGTACCTGCTTCTGCAGCTCAACTCGGATTCAGCCCTGATTAATGCTATCGCTGAATCTATGTTGGCATCAACTTCCGACATCATAAAAACAGTGCCACGTGTAGTAGAATCACAACGGGAGATCTTCTTCGAAATCGGATGCTACATCTACCGCACTTCTTTTGCAGTGATGGAGTTGCAAACAACTGAGAACCCTCCGGAGAACGCGAGGGAGATCCTGGAATCACTTTCCAGAAGCATCAATGAGGCCAAGGATCTTGTTAGCGGATGCAGGAGGAGGAGCTTTGTAGAAGAAGATGGTTCACTTCCCTCCGATGACTCCAATATTAGAAGCACCATAAGTCAGCTGGAGGAGGTGATCAAACGTGCTGGCGAAATCTTGAGAAGCATCCCTTCATCAACCTTTATAGACAACGAATATTCAGAAATGGCTGTCAGGTCCATTGCTAGTGAGATGCAGAATGCTCAGTTCAAAGTTTTGCAGAAAGAAGAGGCAGCAGAAGAGCAAGTGACGGAAGAAGCACAAAGAGAGCCCATTGAGTCATCAGACCTCTATCCCACTAAAGCTGATTTTTCAACAAATGATTCTCAAGTCTTGGACACGAAATTGCCGCAGTTGATTCAGTTCCTAAGGAGACCCACATCAAGTATCAGCAGGAACCAAGGGCTCAAAAACCACAGAAGCATATCTACAGCATCATTTCCAGATATGGCAATCGAGCCTCTGTACGAGACATTCTGCTGTCCACTAACGAAACAGGTGATGGAAGATCCAGTTACCATACAAAGCGGGGTCACCTTTGAAAGGAAGGCCATAACAAAGTGGTTCCAGGACGAGTTTGAGAGCTCTCCTGAAGCTGTCTGTCCAGTCACTGCATTGAAACTGACCAATACAAGTTTGAGACCCAATGTCGCTTTACGGACCACGATTGAGGAATGGAAGGAAAGAAATGAGGCTGCAAAGATCAAGGTCTGTCGAGCTGCTTTGTCTTTAGCTAGTACAGCAAGCATGGCAGTAGAAGCAGTCAGAAATTTGCAGCAAATCTGCACAAGGAACCCATTCAACAAGATGCAAGTTTGCAATGCAGGCATACTGCCATTGCTTGACAACTTCCTGAGTCATAAAGACAGAGATGTCAGAATTGCAGTTCTGGAATTTCTCGTCGATTTGGCGGAAGAGGACGATGGAAAGGCACGGTACTTCGATCCTTACCCCTCAAAATCTTTATTATGTCACAAAAAAAAAAGCAAAGCTGTTGAAATGATCACTGACTCCAGGGTTCCCTCCTTATCTGCAGGAAATGATTGCAAAAACAGTGGACTTGTCAGCAGTTGTGAGACTCCTGTCAAGTGGCCACCAGGTTATAAAGCACCAAGCTTTGTTATTATTGCTTGAGCTGGCGAGATTGGAGGCAATGTCTGAGAGAATTGGATCCATTACCGGGTCGATTCTGATGCTCATCAAACTCAAGTACAGCCATTCTCTCGATTCATTTGCATCAGAAAGAGCAAATGAAATCTTGATGTCCCTCGGGAGGTTGCCTGAGAACGTAAAGCAAATGGCAGAAAATGGGTTTCTGGAGCCCCTCATAAATCAACTCTCTGAAGGTGAAGTGTACTGATAACGCAAATATCTAGGAGTTCAGACAACTAACGATTATACTGGAACTTAATCAATTTTCACCTAACAGGCCCCGAGGAAGTACAGATTGAAATGGCAAGCTACCTTGGAGAAATCTCTCTCGGCCATGAAAGCCAAAAGACCTATGTCGCTGACAGGGCTTCTCCAGTTCTCATCAGGATGGTGCACAATGGGAATGCACTGACCAGAAGAGCAGCATTCAAAGCTCTGGCTCAAATCTCTTCATACCATCCCAATGCAAACACACTCACTGAAGCAGGAATCCTCCACATTATGGTCGAAGAGATGTTCACCCGGAGAATCTACAACGAACCCATGGATTCGAAGAACGAAGCTGCTGCAATACTTGCAAATATACTCGAGGCAGGGGTTGAGCTTCAGAACCTCAAAGTAAACAGCTACGGCCACAAGCTAACTTCAGACTACGTGGTCTACAACATCATCCACATGCTCAACAACTCGACTCCTGAGGAACTCAACATCAACCTGATCAGGATCATTCTTTGCCTTGCTGACTCGCCGAATTCGATGGCTACAATCGTCTCGGTGGTTAAAAAACAATCCGAAGTGAGCTACAATCTCATCGAACTGATCAACAATCCCCACGAGGAACTAGGTGTTTCGGCCATCAAGCTACTGATCAAACTGTCTCCTTACATGGGGCACACAGTGATCGAGAGACTGTGCAAGACAAGAGGTTTGCCAGAGAACTTAATCCTCGACGAAACTGCTGGAACAACAGCTAGAACCACAGAGAGGCAGGCGCTTTCAGCCCTATTTCTAGCTAAACTCCCTCATAAGAACTTGACACTCAACTTGGCACTTGTCGGCCTAGTCCCCAGAATCCTGGACTCGATCAATCAAATCCAAAGCTCGGGGACAAGATCGAGCAGGCATTCAAGTGCTTACCTGGAAGGTCTAGTGGGAGTCCTTGTGAGGTTCACATCTACACTGTATGAGCCACAGATGCTGTTTCTGGCCAGAACCCACAACTTCACATCGGTATTCACTCAACTCCTGCTGACCAAAACATCCAACGATGAAGTTCAGAGGCTATCCGCATTTGGGTTGGAGAATTTGTCAGCAGAATCAGTAAACCTGTCGAAACCACCAAAGACCAAGAAGCCAACGTCATTGGGCAAAAGCTTCAGCATGCGAAATTTTCTTTCCTTTGGGTCCTCCAACAAGAGACGAGCCCCTCTCTGTCCTGTCCACAGAGGAGTGTGCTCCTCACAGGACACGTTCTGCTTGGTCGATGCGAATGCGGTGGAGAGGCTGCTGACGTGCCTGGACCATGAGAACGCGAAGGTGGTTGATGCTGCTTTATCAGCCATCTGCACTCTGTTAGATGACAGAGTGGACATCGAGAGCAGCATCGCGATGCTGATCGGAAAGAATGCTGTGAAGCAAATCCTGCACGTGGTGACGGAGCACGGGAGTGAAGCTTTACGGCACAAGTGCTTCTGGTTTCTTGAGAGGTTCCTGGAAAGCGGTGCGGACAGCTCTGTTGGGGATATATCCATGGACAGGTCATTGCCTGCAATTGTGATTAGCGCTTTTCATCACGGAGATGGCAACACTCGCCAGATGGCTGAGAAGATTTTAGGCCACCTGAATAGGGTGCCTAATTACGGAACTACCCACTTTACCATGTAGAAAGAAGTCTTTGTGTGTATATACAGAGATTATGTTTGGGAGAAGCTAGCCAGTGTGTGGTGTTTAATGTGAATATATATAAGTTGGTTTCTGTAAGGATTCTTTCAGATATTGTGTACCATTGGCAGCCACATATGGACTTAGCAGCACAATGAAATTCCTAATAATCAAACCCATCACATCTTTGTCAAGAACAACAGCAAAACAAAATTCATCCTTCTCGACCAATGTTGTCAGGTCCCCCCAATATCTTCATCTTCCTTTGCAAGCTCCACAACTGTAACTTTAGCCACATTACTTCTTTGCCATTGTTGTTCTTTTCATTGACAAGGAGGGCTACTGATGGTTCTACATCAATTTTCCCACTTTGATCCATTTCTTCAACCATGGCCAATTCATTTTCCCATCTTTTACCAATAGCAAACGTACGTGATGGGTGATATGTCCAAAGTTTCCATCATGACATGCTCAGAAAGAAGTTCAGTATCGTCCATTGCATGATGGACCAAAAGACATGATCTAAAATTCCCCCTGTAGTTAGGGAAATCAAGCCAACTGATGTTGCTGCAATTGAAGCTTGTGCATTCGGGGTGGAAGTACTACTGAATCCCTGAAAATGTTTCCATAGAGCATTGGCAAACTCGCTCCATACCAAAACAGAACGAGGAGAACTCCACAACCAAAACCATGCATCCGGCCTATGCTCAAAGTTAGCTGCCGCAACCTTAACCTTTACTTCATCAGGGACTTTATATCTAGCAAATAAGTTCCCACATTCCCTAATCCAACATCTAGGTTCTTGCAATTGAAGGAGGGAAATTTCAAACGTATTGAAAGTTTGACTGTGAATTGCAGGTTTGGCAGGGGAAGTAATCATCGCTGTGGAAACCTTCAGCTCGGCATTTCGTCGAGCAGGTGGTGGAAGTCGCTGTGAGTGGGAAGAAAGGGAAGAAAAGAAGAAGAAGAAGTAGAAGAGGAAGGGAAGGAGGAAGAGAGGAAAGAACAAAGAAGAGTCTTAATTTGTTATTCGATATCTAATTCAGTACAAAAAATTTCTATTTATATGACACACTGAATTACAAAGAAACCTCAAGCTAATATGTTTTACACTTCATTCTAATCAGGTTAATTGTAAGGTTGGTCACTTGGTTTACTAAAAACGTTCATATTTAGTCACTGCAAATATTTAATTCCATTCATGGTCACTAAGATTAGTTCAAAAGTTCAACTTTGGACACTCTCCGTTAGTTTTTGCTGATGTGGCAGTCAACTATTATAGTTAGTCGTTAAATGAGTGACATGACCATTAAAAAAATATTAAAATAAGAAAATTTAAATATTTACAATTTCCACCTCGAACTATTAAAAAATAAAAATGAAACCTAATAGAACGCCTCCCCCATCTACGCCACCGTGATTCTGATCCCTCCTCCTTGGATTTCTCCCCCCTCCTTCCGATTACTCACCCGCCGGATATTCTCCCTTCTATTCCCTCCCTCACAAACCCTAAGATTTCAGAGGAAGAGGTGAACAAGACTGGCCCCATCGCCGCTCACTTCTAGATGGCGACCACTACCAGCCTCAGCGGCGGAGGCGGCGGAGACGCGCGTCATGGCCACAGCGCAGCAGTCGAAGCTGAGCGTATCGGAGAGCAGTCGAAAAAAAGGAACCGGGGAAATCGCAGATCCAATAGGCCGAGCATAAGCAAATCATAAAGAGTCGAGTAGAGCAAAAGGAGCGGGGAAGGCATACAAGGAACTGACCACTCCAGATTGAGTGAAAGTAGAGATGGAAATCTTCTAGTCGGAGAGATAATCTCTGGTCAGCAAATCTGTAGAGGAAGATGAATCGAAGAAAGCGTCGGCGCTGCAGCAAACAACCAGAGGTAGAGAGGAAACGGGAGGGAGATGCATGTGCGCTTACCTTTGGCCTTCTTGCCGAAGTTGGAGAAGAGACCTGGTCCCTTGCTCATGGCGGTCGGCGAAATGGAGTCGGGAGGGAAAGATTTTGTGGGAGGGTTTATGAAAAACCCTATAATGCGAATTGAGAGAGAGAGAGAGAGAGAGAGAGAGAGAGAGAGAGAGAGAGAGAGAGAGAGAGAGAGAGAGAGAGAGCTGTTAATGACGCAATCGTCTCCACCATCGCCGTCGTTTCTAAGGCTGGTAGTGGTAGTGGTCGCCATCTGGAAGTGACCAGCGCCGGGGCCGGTCTTGTTCACCTCTTCCTCTAGAATTTTAGGGTTTGTGAGGGAGGGAATAGAAAGGAGAATATCCGGCGGGTGAGTAATCGGAAGGGAGGGGAGAGAAATCGAAGGAGGAGGGATTAGAATCGCGGTGGCGTAGATGGCGGATGGCGGAGGCCATCTATTAAGTTTTATTTTTATTTTTTAATAGTTGTAAAATGAGGTGGAAATTGAAAATATTTATATTTTAATATTTTTTAATGCCCACGTCACTCATTTAACGGTCAACTATAAAAGTTGACTGCCACATCAGCAAAAACTAACGGAGACTAGGGCTGTTAATGAACCAAGCCGCTCATGAACGACTCGGTGTGCGACTCGAGAAAAACTCGTTCGACACTCGATTCGTTTTAATCGAGTCGGCTCGCGAACAAGCTCGTTAACTAAATGAGCCAAACTCGAGCCATACCATGTTCTCCTCGAAAGCTCGCGAACAAGCTCATTTAATGGTTTGACATAAAAAAAGGATTAGAATTCATGGATTTTATGTATTGAAATTGGGATAGATATTGTGTTTTACTTTGCTAGACTTTGCTACAGGTTAGAATGTAATTTTGTGCGTAGTTCTAGGTCAATCTTGAGCTATCATGAACATGTTATGAGCTGAACTCGAATTTGGGCTCGTTAAGCTTATTTGACGAGCCGAGCTCGAGTCAAGCTCGAGCTTTCATTTTCATAAACGAGCCAAGCTCGAGCTTGCATATTAAAGCTCGTGACGAACACGAGCCGAGCCCGAACAATGGCAAAGCTCGATTCGACTCGGCTCATTAACAGCCCTAACGGAGAGTGACCAAACTTGAGCTATTAAACTAAGCTTAGTGACCATGAATGAAATTAAATATTTGTAGTGACTAAACATGAACGTTTTTAGTAAACCCAGTGACCATCCTTGTGATTACCCCATTCCTAATCATTACATAACCAAGCAACTCTTGGTCGGTGCGCACGAATTTTGTCCACGTCGGCAATTCCTCGGCACCTCCAAGTCGGTTTTCAAGAAGTTCGAGAGAGTGATTCTGAATTTTTTCTTTTCTTTTATTTATTAATTTTATTTAGAATTTCAATTTTTTAAAAATTTATAATAAAAAGTAAACATTACAATTACAAGTCGACAACATGTTCGGCCCGTAACCTGATCAACCCGCTACCCAGCTCACCCGTAACTCGATTAACCTGAATACGATTGATCCGCAACCCGAATGACTCACAACCCGACTCACCCGTAACCCAATTGACCCGAACACGATTGACCAGCAACTCGATTAAATCTGTAACCTGATTGACGAGAATGATTACAATATTATATAATATATAGTCTTTCAAAATTAAATTTTTCATTCTAAACCTAGGTAAAGCCATTTTTCATTTTGTAAAAGGCAATTCAAATATGAAATTCACTTAAAAATATGTATTTTTAATGAAATATAATAATAAAAATATTGATTCATTTGAACATTAAGTTCTTTTAAAAATTAGAAAAATAAATACTTAATATATAAGTAGCACAAATATTGATAATGAAAAATTAAGAAATGAGATGTATAACATTTATATTGTATATATACATTAAAATCCTTGTTAATTTAACTATTAAAAAAAGTTATCAATTAAATCTATATAGAGTAAATTAATTTATTTGGTAATAGATTATTTTAAAAGAAAGAGGAATTTTTGGTAACGTATTTGGTGTCAACCCGAACACGCTCCAACTCACCTAATTGGCACCTCTATACCTACACCTGGTTATTTTATTTTTCTCGTAGTTTTCTCTACTAACTTATCAAAATAATCAGATAGGTTTGCAATGTAACAAAACGATGAAAAATGTTTAAGATGTGATAAAAAAAATTATATATGTATTACAATATAGTAAAAATATTATTATGTCTCTTTTCATCCATATTTCTATCCAAATCGGCAGGGGCGGAGCTACTCAAAGAGTAGGGTGGGCCCCGGCCCACCCGGGAATAGTCTCGGCCCCTAGGACCGTAAGAATTTTCGATAAAATTTGAATAAGTAGTGCTCGACCTATAAATTATATCATATAATAATAATTTGGTCTAATGGTAGCTAAGCTAAACTTTTAGTCTAAAGGAAACATGTTCGATCCACAAGAACCTCATTTTTGCTTTAACTTCTTTTTGGACTTTATTATCTTAATTCTCCTCCACAAGGTCCTGGACCAAAGCAAACGGATACCCACTCCTTTTTCATTCTTTTTGTTACTTTAATCCAACTACAAATGAAAAAATCAACCTCTGTTTAGTTCACTTGGGATTTTTAGCTCTTTATACAAACTATATGATCTATTTTTTTTTTATCTATGTCGGAATGAACAGAATGATTAGTGTCAAAGGAATTTTATTTTGTTGTTAGGTTGATTTGTCTTCTTCTAACTCTTACAAATTTCTAAAGCTACATGTAATCGTGCATGTTTTAGGTATAAAGATAGTGAAGAATAGATTGTGAAACAAAATAAATGATGAGTTTCTTGTTAATGATTTATTTATTTATATTGAAAGAAAGATAGCTAAATTTTTTAGTTCATATGCTATTTTGAGAGATTTCAATGATCTCAAAGAACGTTGTAGAATTTAAAACTAAATATTTTATTTTTAATTACATTTATCTATTTTCGGCCCACCCGGTCTCGAAATCCTGGCTCCGCCCCTGCAAATCGGTCAGTTAGATTGCTGACTCCTTGTATAAATTAATAAAAAAGGAATCAGATGTCTAACAACCGCTTAAACTTATCTGTTATCCGGAACAAGTAAATTGGACATTTTAGAGGGAAATATGAATGAAATTATGTGAAATAATAGGTTGTTAATATGTGATATGTACGTGGCCTTTTTGTTATGTTTTAAATATTTGTCACCATTTTGTTACTTAGGAATACATCTGAAAAAACAATCCTCCAATTAGTAGGTATGAATATCAAATAGGCATGAAAAACAATCCATGAGTATCCGAGAGGGTAAAATTTGGTGTTGAAGGAATTTGGGTTGGGTGTGGGTTTTCCTTATTTTTGAAATTGGTGGGTTGGTTCGGGTGCGAATTTTCTCAAAACTCAACCCGCTTTCCACCCAACATGCTCGTGAAAAACCAAACAACCTATTTTTGTATCTAACCTTAAAAATATGAATAGTTATTAGATGCTATTAGTTTTTATCACAAATATAGTTATAATAATATTGATAACTTATAAATGTTATTAGTCTTTATGGAGATATATAAGATATATATGTAGGCAATTTTTTTAATTTACTTTGATATGAGTGTTTGGAGAAATTATTTGTGGTTATATTCGTGAACCAATATATACCCATGCATTCGCGGGTACGCATTAAATTGAGTTTGATTTTCTCTTCTAAAACTCCTTAAGTATTTTTTTAATGAATTTTATGATTATTATGGATCGTAAATCATCTTCTTATCCCCCTCCCACCCAAACGAAGACCAGTTATTAGCTCTGATACCATATTTAGAATTTGAGTTTAAAAACCGAACAAACCTTATCTCTAATCCTAATGGCATTTCAGGAACAAGATGCTTTCCCAAAATTGCGAGCGGCAATCTTTATGGATATCAATTTGGTAGTGCCAAATGCCAGTGGCAGGCAGGTACTGGGAACAATTATAGTTTCAGGATGCATTTGTTTTGTCTTGTATTTTAGCATTAGCCTGCAGGCCCTCGCTTTACATTCCCAACCTGATTCCATATGGCTCCACAAAACCCACCTGCTTTCCAGTTTCCACAGATAATCTCTGTTATGGTTTAAGGAAATATGACAGATGTTGAAAGTAACTAAACATTCGACTGTATCAAAACTAATATAAAACGACCAGGCAAAGTCACAGACAAATGATCTATGCACATATATCTGAGAGAGCAGGAAGGATGATGCATATTCTGCATTAAGTGGGTGGAACCTGTCATCCAACAAGACATAACTTTTCTAACCAGGAAAGAAGCCCTTTCAAGTGTCACCGTTGACATTTCTGAGGCAAAGTTTCTTAGCCACGTCTCCAGGTTACATATCTACTCCATTACTGTTGTTATTCCTGTCTGAGTAACAAAGTTGCATGCTCTTTTTGGTCTCTTCAACCGTTGCAGAGCCTTTCCAGAGCAGACTTTGCTGTTTTCTCCACTCTACCAGAGAGAGGATGGCCTCCTTTTCTATGGAAGACTTTGTAGGCAATGGTGTTCTGAAAGAGCTGCTCCCAAAGTTGTTGGAAGAAGGATGGGATGATGTGCCAACTTTGAAAATTATGGACACTGAGGACATGGATGAAATGAACCTGACAAGGAGACAAAAGGTACACATAATCCATTCTAGAGTTCCTCACCTTGCTGAAAATAATCTAATTGATAAATGGAACCTCAGATATTGTTCAAGTCTTGCTCTTCAGAATGCCCTTGAGATAAGAACGTACCTGCATGATCGTGCTCTGATGAACTATGGAGACAGACTAGAAGCCTCTGGGAAAGGTTTGTCAGAACTTCTTGCCCTCAGTAACGCCAATCTGGCATCACAGTTTGGGATGAAGAGAGGTCATATAGCTCGTTTCTTGGACAGAACCACTACTTGTACAGAACCTTTTAACAAATCAGAAGCCTTACCTATTAGGAAACCTCCAACACCATCAAGAAGCGACAGCCTTGTCAAAAGTTTTGGGTCTACCACCTCAAGAAAGATGGCTAGCGTATCAAGATATTCTGCAGCCAGTATGATGACTTATGAAAAATCCACAGAACAGTCGCTGGCTGATTTCAAGATCAAAGATGGGTACGTCTTTAAAGGGGTGATTGCTGCAGGGCCAGCTGATCCTCGAGCATGTGGCTGTATAGCTGCTCCACCAGTAGTGGACCAGGTTGCTCCTTATTCTACCATTGAGAACATTACTGTTCAGAAGCTGGCTCCGGAGTATAAGATTGGGATGGAGCGCTTGCTGAAAACCAAGGCACCTCCAATGAAGGCTTCAGAATTGTGGCGTGACAAACCAGCGGTTATCCTCTGTATTAGACGACCTGGGTAAGCAAATTGAAGGAGCAACACAACATTTCGGAAAAACCATCTATGTATTTAAGCTTCGTCACTAGTCCTAATCAATTTGCAACTGTTCATACGTATTGATTAAATTAGATGAAGCATGGTTTAAATCAAAAGTGAACCTATGCAATCTGAATAGCAGTAGAAAACTAAGCCAAACTGTTACCACGATAGCTGTAGTATTCACATTATTACCCTGTGCAATTTCTGTTGAGAACAGGTGCATCATGTGCAGAGCTGAAGCTCATCAGCTTTATGCTAGGAAACCCTTATTTGACGCATTGGGAGTTCAACTATATGCAGTTCTTCACGAGCACATAGAGTCAGAGGTGCTTACTGAATATGAACTTCTTAGTTATCAACCGTTCTTTCTCTGATACAAAATAGATATTGTGAAGGTACAAGACTTCTGGCGACGGTATTGGGGGGGTCATTGTACTTTTTGATCGAGGTATGGACTTCTTCAAGGCTCTTGGTGGTGGAAACCTGCTCAAGGACAAGTTCATATCAGGATTTCTCTTCAACCCTCGAGCAATAGCTAATTACAAACGAGCAAAATCCCTGGGACTGCACCAAAACTTCACTGGCGAAGGTGAGATCAAAGGTGGACTTTTCATAGTAGAAAGAAAGAGGTCTGGCATTGCTTACCAGTTTGTTGAGAGGAACTTCGGTGACTGGGCTCCTGTGACAGAAGTAATTGAGATCTGTAGAGACTTACAGGTAATCATGTTTTCTTTTCGTTCCCATAAAGCATATAGTTACTCGATGTGCATTCCACTTTAACCTGGTCTTCTCCAACCTGATGCAGAACCAGCAGCAAGAGCAAGGAGAGTCAATCAAATCTTCACAGGAGTATGCTTGAGGTGATCAATTATTACATATTGATCAGAGGTCACCATATATTACTGTTGCATGGGGTTGAACGATAGCAATACTTCTAACGTTTGAGGGTTTATTGTATTCAGTTAGCACTGTTGTTTTGATTAGTTTTGACTAAGGAAGAACCTTTTCAGACAATCAACCAGAAATTTAAGGATCAGTTTCCTACAAAAACGCCAATAAAACTAGGACTGGGATAATACAACTATTTTCTCTGACTAGTATAACTAAAAAAGGTTCATTTGTCAACAATTCCTGGCAGCCAAAATTTTAGACATTGCAAAAAAGGCTTTTCATACATGCCAGATGCATCTTAGCAGAGATGTTCAAGAGAGAAATGGAAATAAAAACCTCAATGCTGCAGGTTTGCAAATTGATCACATGAAAATTTGGATGTGGAACAGAATGGTTTATACAAATGGCTGGACAAGACTATCATCTAGTCCTGACACAGGCTTACGTATTTCATTCAGTGCAAATGTAAGAGTCCTGTACCCATCCATGCCTCTAAGCATTGGCCAGAAAGTTAAATACAGCATCTTCTATAACAGAGGAAGGACAAAAGAGTTCGGAAAGACAACATCTGGGAGGTATTAGGAGCTAGGGTGTACCCCCATCTGCAGCTGAATGGACTGCCGACTGCTCCATGACAATCTTGTTCGTGAAGTTCTATGATGATGTTTTCGGAGTAAGATAATTCTTTTCGCAATGGTAATTCAATCCATGAAGTCACCAGTTCAGAAGTCACCTATAGTCACAATTTTGGATGATGAAATAACCTTTTACCAAAAATCTCCACAAGAGCATGCCCCATCCTTAAACAAATGGAACCTGACCGCATCTCTAACAAGGATCTCCCTCTGAGTTATCTTTGAGATGTATTTAGTAGCATTATGACAATCCCTGCACACCCTCAAATTTTTAACTACTCTTATAGGACAATGACGAGGAATGAATATCAATCCGAAGGCAATCGCCAGCCTCTCACTATGGTGGCCAAGCATCTTTATTTTCTCCAGTTCCTCAACATCATGTAGAACTGAACTGGCATCTGGCACATACCCCATTTGTATCATTTTCTCGTTTAATTTTTCCAACTCAGCATATATCTGATCATAAAATGGACTGGAGAAGTCGTCTGCTGAGAAAATGTAAAGCTTGTTCTTAAACTTTATCCAACTGCATCCAGGATCCTTTCTTAAACCCTTTTCTCGCATTCCTCTCCTTAACTGAGCTACAGTATTCCATTTTCCTTTAGCAGCATAGATACTTGAGAGCAAGATATACCCTGCAGGATTTGTTGGCTCTAGGTCTAGAAGCGACTCAGCTGCCCATTTCCCTACCTCTAGGTTGGAGTGAACTCTGCAAGAGCTCAACAAAGTAGCCCAACCAACTGCATCTGGCGGGAAAGGCATCTTATGAATAAAGTCTTGTGCTTCTTTTATTCTTCCAGCTCGACTTAAGAGGTCAATCATGCAAGTATAGTGATCATGAATAGGAAGTATGCCATGGTCTCTAGACATTGATTCAAAATACCGATACCCTCTTTCCACTAGTCCTGCTCTACTACAAGCTGAAAGAACCCCAATGAATGTAACTGAATCGGGTCTTAGGCCTTGTGCCAACATCTTCTCAAATAATGTGATAGTCTTATCAGCATTGCCAAATTGTGCATATCCTGAAATCAATGCAGTCCAAGAAACTTCATCCCTGAATACCATCTCATCAAACAACTGGTTGCAGTACTCAACACTTCCGCATTTACCATACAGAGTAATGAGTGCATTGGAGACAGTAATAAAAGAAATCAAGCCTGACATTAGGGCTTGCGCATGGAATTGAGCTCCTTCTTCTAAGCTCGCCAAGTTTGCACATGAACTGATGACACTACCCAGAGTAAAATCATCAGGCTCAATCGCATTTTTCTGCATGTCGGAGAAAATCTTAATAGCTTCCTCACTGAATCCATTCTGGCCATAGCCCACAAGCATTGCTGTCCATGAAACAACATTCCTGTGCCGCATTCTCCTAAAAACTGCTTCAGCATATTGTACATTTCTACATTTGCAATACATGTCCAGGAGAGCACTACCCACAAAGACATTATCTTTATAGTCCTTCCTGATGATAAAAGCATGAACTTGCTTGCCCTCTTCAAGGAGCTTCAGTCCCCCACATGCAGTCAGCACACTCCCGAAAGTATACTGATCAATCACCATCCCGGCTAATCTCATCTCCTGAAATAAATTAAGGGCATCTCTATCTAATCCATTCTGTACAAAACCAGTTATCATCGTCGTCCAGGAAATTGAATCTCTTTCCTTCATGTTGTGAAAGAGACGCTTAGCGTCCTCCACCACTCCATGACGTAAAAGTCCCGTGATCAGTGTATTATACATTACAACATTCCTTTGGGGAATTTCATTGAATGCTTTCACGGCCTCATGAACCGGCCCTATTTTGGAATACATATCGACCAAAGAACTTCCAACGAACACACAAGCCTTGAACCCAAATTTCTGTATGTGCCCATGAATCGCCCTGCCCAAGTTGACTTGCCCTTTACTTGACGACAACATGAGCAAGGTGGAAAATGTAATTCGATTCAAATTAACAGATCCATCCCTAAGCATCATGCTATAAGTCCCGACAGCTTCAGTAACCGAGCCATGAACCGCATACCCGGAAATAAGCGAATTCCAGGACACCCCATCTCTGCTCGGCATGAGATTGAAGATGTCTTGCATTGTCGAGAGGTCCCCAGACTTGGAGTAAGCAGAAAGAAGGGTGTTCCAAGAGAAAGGATTTGGTTGGGCCATTTTGTCGAACACGTTGCGGGCGTACAATGGATTTCGCAGGTTGCCATACGCGTTAATCAGGTTGTTGGAGAGGAAAGGCTCTGGGTTCGATAGAGTCTTTAGGATATGGCAATGCAGCTTCTTGACCTGGGTCTGATTCCGGGTTTCGCAGCACAGCTTGAGAAAGTAAGAGTACTGGTTAGAAGAAGAGCCAGACATTTTACGTTGTTTGCTGGCGGGAAAGGAAGAATAGAATACTTGCGATGGGCAAAGTTCAACTCCTGCAGGTAAATCTTTTTTTAGGGAAGAAAGTGAAACCAAACAAGAGACGAGAAGTAAGCATCCAACTGAATCTGTGGCCTGCTTCGGAACACAGCTCGATGGGCGGATAGTTGGATTTTTTCCCCAATATATTCCGTTTTAATTTTTAAAAAGAAAATAGGGTAACATCCTAAAAAACTTTCCCGACAATGTTGTCCGCTTTGAGATTAGATTCTCACGATTTTTCCTAGTGATGCGTATCAAGATGACTTTCTAAGAGGCGAACACATTTAACTTCCAAAGTTCTCATAAAATCTCTTTCAATTCGCCCCCCAAACGTGTCTTGTTGTTAGTTATGGCATGTTTCTTAGTTCTTACACATAAACCATTCATCTATCTCTTGTTTTGTTGATATGTGATTCGTCTAAATGGTTGCGTCCCCTACCCCCCCCCCCCCCCCCCCGGCGGGGGACTCAACACCCTCATTGAGGTTTGTCCCACCATCGTTAAAGAGAGACGCAGAGAGGCGCTAATACCATTTGTAACATCTCGAACCTTTTCTCGACAAGATATTGTCCGTTTTGGGCCTAGATCCTCACGGATTTTGCCTTGAGGTGCATATCAATGTGACTTTTCATAAGATCACCCATTCTTGCAGTACTTCACAAGGAGCATGGTGTACTTCAGAGTTCTCACAAGAACTCTTCCATTTCATCTCAAAAAGCACATTGTTAGTCAATGTCGTTTTCTTATTTATGAACCGTGGATCTCTCTTGTGCTTTGTCGATGTGCTATTCGCCTAAAGTGTTACAATTTTGGCCTATGGTAAAAACAAATCAAAAAATATATAAAAAAAAAAAGAGAATCAGTATATATAAAGTGTAAGTATGCTTAAGGGGTTCAGTAGGATGTGTGAGGGTGTATTGAATATTTCCTACATCACACACTGATTGTCGTCCAGTCCAATCTAACTATTAGTATATATAAAGTGTAAGTATACTTAAGGGGTTCAGTAGGATGTGCGCGGGTGTACTGAAAATTTACTACATCACACACTGATTGCCGTCCAATCCAATCTAACTATTGATCTTAACCCTCGATTTAACACGTTTCCCATCAAGTCAACAAAACATTTCCCCCTTCAACACACAGAACACTGTCCGATTCATCCTAAACGGTGATCTCAAGTTCTCGACTATCTGTTCTCACCGTCCCGCTAACCTCGTCTATACCTTATCCCATGTTTGGGTTTTTCCCCTTTCCACGTTCTCCCACTTCCTCTGATTCCCATACGGCAATCGATCTCCATCACCGATTCCCCTACGACGACAGGATGGCGGCTAGGCAAGTTGGAGCTCCGGCGTTTCCATGGCGGTTGGCTGAGTTTTCACCCCAAATCTTGGTACGTAGTCCGGCTGGTCGGGATTGGTGGTATCAACGCTTTTGGAGATTGGTTCTCCCTTCGTGATTGTGAATGGCTGCTCCGAAGCTGGCGTTGGGTGAATTTTGCGAAACAAAGCTTCATTGGTTGAATTTCAGGGAGAAACAAAGATGGCTTTGTTTGACAATGATCCCACTACCTCGGTGAGATTTCCTTTCCATCAGGTTGGTTGTTATTTTAATTTTTCTTATCCTAAAGGGTTTATGCAATTCGAATTCCAATGATTGACACTATAGTACTATACGCTGTTGAGTTTTTCAATTGATTGTGAAGGCCAACGAACTATTGTTGCAAGTAGTGATGGTTGAAAGAATGTAATTTGAAAGCATTGAGATATTCTCTACGCTGGTGGGGTTTCAAATTTCTATCTTTACAATTATGTTTTTCTTTAACATGTGGATACTAATTAAATCTTTGTTCAAGATATTGAATCTAATAGGAGTTCAACTCATTTTAGCTATTAGCCTATTTTGAATATTAGCAATTTGTTGAATTGCATACAAACTATCTAATGTCACAATGATATGTTCCAGCAAAATTTATTTGAGGATGAACATTTTAAAAGTTTCTCTGTCTTTTCATAATACCTGATGAGGTTAATCACTGGAATCCGTTTGCAAGTACAATAGACATACTCAGTATTGCTATTACTTTGTTTATTGGCATATAAAAAGACAAAGTAGTTTAATAAATCATCAAAGCGGACAAACCAATGTGAAGTGTTAAAATTCATATATTGATTGCTCAAGAAATTAGTGCAATTCCATATAACATATTATTTGTGGTCACATTCTATGGTCCGAAATCCACTTTGGTCTTCTGGGTCGAATTGGTTTTTCCTTATGTATAAAGGTCAAAAGTTGGTTTTCATATCTCTATTTACTTCTAAACGTTTGTGCCATCCCTTTAAAAGGTTAAGAGATATTTGGAGCGGTCTTGAATTTTGTGTCCTTGCAACGCCATCTACCTCATATAGTTATTTTTTGGCAAAATACATTTGTATAGCCATAACTTTTACATTTTTGACAAATATAGCCATATCTATTCGAAAACCCGAAATAACCCAAAAACCGGAGGTTGTGTGACAAATCTAGCCAAATCCGTTAGAAAATTTAACACCGTCTGTAACTCCGTTAAATCATTTGACGGAACGATCACGAGGACGGAATCCAACCTCCACATCAGTGACACATCAACAAAATGTACACGTGGAATGCCACGTCAATAAATAATTTTGAAAATAAAAAAAATTAACTTTCCCCTTTTCATATCTGTAGACCCTCCTTTCTCCTTGTACCCGATTTTCCCAATACACGAATTAGTTCTGAGGTTTAACAATTTTGAAGGTTCTGTTCCTTCCGAGCTCTTCGACAAGCCGCTCGATGCTCTGTTTTTGAATGATAATCGGCTCCGATTCGGGATCCCCAAGAATCTAAGGAACTCGCCGGTCTCGGTGCTGGTGTTTGCGAACAACAATATCGGCGGGTGTATTCCCGGGAGCATTGGGAAGATGGGGAAGACATCAGAGATTGGCAGAGACGGTGGCGACGAGGGTGGGGAATCCTGATGGTGGTGGAGAAACCGTAGCGACGACAGCGGGAGCTGGCGGGTGCGAAGGAGATTGGCGATGACGGAGCGGTTCGGATACGCTGGAAACGGAGGGATCCGACCTACAACTGCTTCTTCTTCCTTGGCGGTGACGGTGGGCTTTTGGCCCGGTTGCGACTGATCGGATTACTGAGCCTTCCGTTCCATTGCAGCTTACTGCGTTCGATGGGCCTTCAATTCAAGATGCTTCTGATGCTGCTTCTGGAAACGCGCTTATTTACTTACTGATCCATTTTCTTGTTCACCAGCTGCGCCTCTTCATGGGGACGTTTATCTTTCTCCAGCACTTCTTCATGTGGAGGATTTCCCTGCAAATCAAAATCAAAATATGGGAACCCATGATTGAGTGGTTTGGAAGAGGATGAGGGGTCTGAAAGTAGGTGGAGAGAGGGGATTGAGTGGTTTGGAAGAGGAGGAAGGGTGTGGAAGAAGGTGGGTGGGAGTCCGATCTGGGTGGGAAGGGAAGGGTAGGGATTTTCTTTTTAATAATTTTGTGTTATTTTTTTTTAATCCACATCAGCTGGTCGCGTAAATCAATCGTCAACTCAACGTATTCCGTTAGTCCAGTCATATCGTCAACTAACACCGTTAACAAAATGGATGGAATTGGCTATTTCGGGTTTTCGAATAGATATGGCTATATTTGTCAAAAACGTGAAAATTATGGCTATACAAGTGTATTTTGCCTTATTTTTTGTTGATTGTAGTCTGTAGAAGTTCCAATGTTTCTGTTGCCACTTTTCAGACTCAATTGCTACATACCATTCTTTCAACCATAATAGCGAGAATAAATGACGCAAGAGATGTTGCAATTTCAATATAACCCAAAGGTGGAATTATGCGCGAGCTCCTACAGAAGGTCCATCACAGGTTTACATCTCTTTCAATTTTCCAGACTTATCTTTCTTAAGTGACTCATAATTAGTGGAATTTACAGTCACTGATTCTTTGATTTTCAATTGTATTAGGAGATTAAGATACTTGCTCTAGCTTGAAAGTTATACAAGACTTGAATTTGAGGGCTATAGTATTTATCAAATTTTCGTGGTTCTCAACGATTTTGCTGCATTATAGTTGAACTACTTCAGGTTTTTGAATCTTATCTCAAACTAACTTCATTAGAATTCAAGTTCCACAATTTTGTATTAAGTGGTGGATCTTGGAGTCTTTTATGCCTGAAATTTTTTTATACTTTTACCGAACTAAAAATTTGGAAAATGCCTCGAGTCCGTCAATGAAGTTCTCCCTCAACCCCTATCAACTAGCTAGAAAAGTTAGTTAAGTCAAAGAGATCACTATCTACCATTTAGATTATGTTTAACTAAGAATGAGTGACATGTATTTACAGCTCTTTAAAGGCGTCAACATAGTATTTCGTACTTTCACATTTTGTGTGTTTGATTTTGAATTAGTGATGGTTACATTACCTATCTTCACTAGGGCTGGAAGTTTAGTACCGATATGTGGGATATACCGAATACCGTACAAAATTTGTCTATATTTGGTATTACTGAATACACGTATTATTTCGTGGGATTGGGATTGAGTTTCAATCGTTATTCGGTATTAGGCATTACGAGATTGGGATCGGTATATACCGAAATACCAATCAATACCGAAATATAAGCTAGTGTATATTTTATCCTCTCAACTATACTCTCTCATTCACTACTACGCGACCCTCAATCACAAAGAGTGTCATTTAATTATACATAGATCATTACATCACTATTTCATACTAGTATTAGTCGTCTCTCAACCTCAAATTCATC